GCTTTGAACAACTCAGTCTCCTTTTCTTGCTCAGTGGTATCTTGCTCCGAAATTTCTTTACTTCGTTTCTCAACATGCATTCTCATGTGGAAGCCACTGGGAAACACGCGCTTGCGAAGCGGCCCAATTTCCCTCCGAGATAATGACGCTAAAGCGGTCATTTTTGCAATAATCCTGAGAGCCTTGCAAAGACAACGAAATAAATGATTGATACATTCCAGTTTCTTAACAGAAACTCCATACGCAAGATAAGGCTGGGAACATACAATAGCATTATAAGTGCTACTATCTCCATCGCCAATGTATGTATCATATATTATATCATGCTTTTCAATACTCTCATTGAAACCGGACACAATAATATCGGCTTCCATTGCAGTAGAAGCCTGATTACGACCCCAATTCTTATAGCATGTATGAGCTTCTGGTTCGATACCAAGAGACTCAGCACGAGCATCAACTAAACAAAACTTATTACGAACGTCCATATAAAGTATAAGGCCGGTTAAGGCACTTACCAGAACGGCTACACCAGAAAGTGCATCATATCGCCCATTTTTATATGATCGCTTACTCCACTGGCAGTCACCGATAATTTCAGCTTTTGGTTTTCCTTCGGGAGTTGTGTTATTGGCTTTGATCGCCAATTCTCTCTCTCGAACACCTGCCGCCTTTATTTCATCATTGCATAGCTGCTCGATGACGGGTACCAAATTTTCACGATTTTTACGATAAATTCTTGCTGACATGGTACGCACACTCATTGCAGCGAGTAGTTCTTGTCCTCCAGAATAACCGGATCCTGATGTCAACATTCCAGCCACAAAACCGTCGTGGATGGATAGCTTGTCTTCCGATTCGGGATTATCAGTCCAAATTGTATCCTTATGTTTACAATACAAACAAATGAAGAACAGTTTTGTTTTCATTCCTAGATTATAGAATTTATAGCAACGTAGATCAGTGAATCGACCTGGACAATTGCCATTGTGGGCCCTCCTATGATCATCGAATTTAGCATGAAGTTCACGGAACATAATTTATGTCACTAATACGACGCCCCTCCATTTGTGCCTCGAAGAAATCATCTTCACCGTTATCTTCATTAATGCTAGCTGTTTCTATATCTTCTGAAGTGTCAATGGACAAGTTGCTCAATTCAGAGTCGTCAGAATCAAAATCTTCTTCTACGTCACTCATTTCGTATGAAGATTCGGTGTACAATGAGGAATAATCATTATCAAACTCATCGAACTCATCAACGGATTCATCACTAGAGACAGCTTCTTGGTGCCCGCCGTCGGTGGGATTTGAGAAAGATCTCGACGGGAACGCAGAATTTGTATTGCTCCTGCCGAAGTTATCCACTGGAGATACACTGGGTTCCGATCTTTCACCAAGTTCGTGCTCTTGACCTTCCCATATCTTGAATGCTTGGCTAGCTGGGAGATGTTCTATATTCATTGCATCATGTAAATGAATGGAAGAATGGACCCGGTTCGTTTCTACATAATCTATTTGTGATGTATCACCTACATTATATTGCAAAATTGGAGACTTTGTGGGTGGCAGCTTTGCACGCTGATTCACAGCGGAAGTTTTCTGACTTTCATACTTCCTGACGCAGCTTTTGAACAACTGTCCGTAGTTCTTAATACCACTAATGGGAGAGGAGGACTCATGCGGGGATTCAAGGGTGGAAAACATTTCATGACTAATAGACCTCTCTAGTTGATGAGCATGAGGTCCACTTACGTTTATACAGGCAGCTATATCAGAATCTGAGCACTGCGACGGAGGTGTGGAATCACATGCAATACTTTTATCAATATTTCCTCCCTCTTTTTCCATAGTGATCTCATGATCTACTATATTTGTGCTGTAGTTTCCTAACGATTGCAATCTGTGGTTTTGGATATGACCATTATGTGGTGATTGAACAAGATTAGATTCACCAAGTTCATGCAATACTTGGTGAAAATCAGTTTTTGCAGTGTCAAAAACCTCTTGCATTACTTGCAGACCAATCTCTGCACAACTATTACTATCTTTGAATGAGGAAAGGTTCACATTTCTCGCACTACTCACCTGTGTTGTGAAGGTTGATCTTCTGCCAGCATCTACATCACTGTTGTTCACTATTTCTTTCAGCTGCTGCATGCTACCTTCGCTAGAAATTGCACCTTCGCTCATGCCCTCATCCAGTGTTAGCTGACCACTTCGCTTCTCCAATTTGGCCTTTCGACTAGAATCATTTTATTGATATTTATTTCAGAGGATAGCACAGCAACCAATCAACTGTTCAAATATAATCTGTCATGCAGGATTTCGTTCAAAGAACAGCCGATATAACCGATACAATACAACCGATGATTTCAACATTTTTTAGTTCATAAACTCATAACGAAATACTCATAATTGATTCTCTGAAAATTCTCTATCCACAAATTTGAGCCTGACAATGAGTCTAAATAAATTGAATGGATACCACGATATGGACTGACTGTTATGGAGATACAATTTTACCAACATTCTCGGACTTTCATTATTCACAATTTCTTTCACTGCATTTAGGGACGATTTGACAATTGCTACATAATAAATAAGTCTAAAAATGTAATTTGGGCATCAGAAATTTCAATACAATAATTGTAACAGTTGGAAATGTTGGAATTAATGAAAAATTGGAGGTTACTTACTTCAAAACACATGTCCATTTCCTTGAATGTGCTCTCTTCTTTGGTCGTGCCATCTTGACTTATCATTGATGGTCACTTCAAAAGCAACAATAATCAATTACTCACTTTGTTACAACTAATTTTTTTTTTTTGAGAGACTTTCTCCTTATATCCGAGAAAATTTTCACTCGAGGATTCTCATCACACACAAACACTAGTACATACAAACGTTCAACTGCCGATACAGCCTTGAAATATACCATAGAGAGTTGAAAGGAAACGAATTCGGAATAAATACTGAACACGAGTCAGTGTATTCCTGTGATGAGGAAATTGACATTTTTCCCACCGATGTTGTTTCACTGTTGAAAATATTATTTCAGGACATTAATTACAAAGGGAATGGTTGCATGAAACTTATTGACATTGTTAAGAACACACTTCGCCACATTATCAACGTTTAAAACGTTGTAAATACTTTTGACAGTTCTGATCAAGATCAACTTTACCCCCAAAACTCTCAATTAATTGGATACTATTTTGCAAGACGTGATGAGCAATCTAATTATTCATTTATTGACGAACGAAAATTTGAATGTAACAGCAATGGTTCATGCCAGCTTTGGCATCGAGTAAATGGAATATTTGAGTATATATAATGACGAAATAATATATCTTATGTGCGCAAACTGTAAATGCTGTATTGAGTGGAAGTTTTTTGCAGAGCATTTATAAAAAAATGAAGAAAAGATTTGGTAAAAAGTGAAATGACTAAGTAAATC